AGCTGGACAAAAAGATGTAGCAACACCCCAAGATGACCTTAAGCAAAAGAAGATTATGCTGAGCGTTTGGTGGGGAGTAAGAGGGATTATTCATTGGGAACTTCTTCCAACTAATTGTACTATCACTGCTGATCTCTATTGCCAGCCATTAGACCGGGTTGCGGGAAAACTTCAGGGGAAGCAGGATAGAATTTATTTTTTGCATGACAATGCCAGACCCCATATTGCAGAATCGACGCGTGAAAAATTATTGGAGCTCGGATGGGTTACGGTTCCACATCCATATTTATTCTCCAGACTTGGCTCCTACGGACTACCATTTGTTCCGTTCTCTTTCTAACCATTTGAAGGAGAAAAAGTTCAACGACGAAAACGACCGGGAAATGGACCTCCTCAAGGATCCGGGCCACTTGGCCGACACATCACTTGACCGACACCATTTCGCCGACAAATTGTTTGGCCGACATGTACACTTCGCCGACGACTCATTTGGCCGACAAATATTAGAAGTCAAAAAAATTAAAATTTTTCTCTCTCTCCCTCTCATTCACCTATAAATAGTGAATATTTTTCAAAATAAAATGAGACAGCGATTTTCTATCAGTTAGAACAAGTCTTCTGTTAATAAACTGTTACCCGCAAGATAAATTACAATTTAATCATGCATTCAAGACGAAACAGTGATAGCGCTTCTAATGGTTATGCTGAAGTGATTAAATCTACAAAAGGCAGATCCAAAATCAACATTGAAGGGTTTTTGTATAACAAAGACAAAAATCGCAACGATATGTATTATTGGGTTTGCGAACGCAAAACACAAAAGGAAACGAAATGTACTGCAAGGGCCACTACAGTTTATATTGGGGACCAGCATAAGATTCACAAATTTGATGCTAAGCAACACAATCATGCTCCAGAAGCAAGCCAACCTGAAGCTTTGAAAACTTGCAATCAAATGAAGGAACTGGCTCAAATTAGCAATGATCAACCTGCACAAATCATTAGTAATATTATTGCTACAACATCGCGTGAAATACAACCGTGTTTACCACGAAAAGATGCTTTAAGACAACAAATCAAAAGAGCAAAACGTATTTGTGACGAAGAAGTTGAACCAAAAACTCTGGGCGATTTTACATTACCAGATGCATACTCTATTACACTTAGTAGAATGGATTTTGCAAAAGATATTACCGATGGAACTGAAAGAATTTTGCTTTTCACAACAAGTGAAAACCTTAAATGGCTGCAAGAAGCGAAATTTTGGATTATGGATGGAACATTTAAAACTGTACCAACTTTGTTTCGGCGATTGTACAGTATTCACGCTCCTGCTGGCGGAAATGTTAACTTCCGAATTGTTCCATTTGTTTACGCATTAATGAGTAATAAAAGTAAAGAATTATATCAAAGATTATTTCAAGAACTCAATGAATTGGCAGACGAAAATGAATTGGAATTAAAACCAGACTTTGTATTAACTGATTTTGAAAAAGGTTCAATCAATGCAGTTAAATTCGAGTACCCAAGTGCTCAAAGCAAAGGCTGTCACTTTCATTTAGGCCAGTCGGTATACAGACAAGTTCAAGATGCAGGACTGACCACAAAAAAACGGAACTGACCAAAACTTTAGTCTTCTTATACGACATATTCCAGCTTTGGCTTTTTTAAGTCCTTTAGAAATTCCTGATGCTTTTGACGAACTCAAAGTTATATTACCATCTGATGCTGAACCAATTATTCAATGGTTTGAAAATAACTATGCACATAGAAGAATAAAAAGAATATTGAGAAATGGCAGAGTTCAAAGACACAATCCATTATATCCACCAGAAATGTGGTCTGTCTTTGATAACATAGAATTTGTATTTCGAAGAACTCAAAACAAAGTCGAAGCCTGGCATCGACGCTGGAAAACATTAATTGCTCGAGCTCACGTTGGCACTTTCACTATGATTAAACAAATTCAAAAAGAACAAAATGAAGTTGAAATGGAAATTGAGTAATCAATGCGTGGAGAACCAGCTCCAAAAAAACGCAAAGAAGATGAAAACAGAGAAGCCAGAATTCAAAATGTTATTGCTGATCGTGGTAATAGATCAACTGTCGATTTTCTTCGGGACATTGCTCATAATCTTTCATTGTAAATATTTATGACTTTTAATAAAAAGATTTTCTGACGCAATATTTTCAAGAATTTTTAATTTTTTTGACTTCAAATATTTGTCGGCCAAATGGGTTGTCGGCGAAGTGTCCATGTCGGCTAAACAATTTGTCGGCGAAATGGTGTCGGCCAAATGAACGCGACCCCTTCTCAACTTCTTTGACCAAAAGTCGCAGGACTTCTATGAACGCGGAATACTTTCTCTACCAGAGCGTTGGCGACAAGCCATAGATAGTAATGGAGCATATATTGTTGAAAGCTAGTTGTATTCTTGATATTAAAACATAAAAAGAAAATTTAAAAACAAAAACGACAAAAATTGATTACCAACCCAATACTATTCGAAGAAATTCATCAATGATAGCTGATTTCATACAGCACAAAATGCACATGTTGTGTATGATTGAGTATTATAAAAATTCTGTTCTATGAAAAGAACAAAGAGAAATAGTAAATAATGGAAGAATAAATAAGAAAATCCTAAATTTATTTCGAAACCATAGATATTCATTGTTTGACAATACGTTGTGTTTCTGAATGTATTATTGTCATTTTAAGACTTATGTTTTATCTTTATCACAGAATTAATTCAAATGCTTTTTTTTCTACATACGCTTCCTTGTTTCTTCTATCTATTACTACAATACTTTACAATAATTACTTTTTTTTGGGTTGAAAAATGTCACAGGGACAAAATTCGTTGATGGAAAATATATATTTAATGTTCTTAGCCCAGATTTACATTCATTTAGAGAGACAATATATAGTCCAAACCTCAATAATCTAGCTGGTACACGAATATTTCTAATATTATCTTCTTTATTTACGATTGCGAAAAGATTTTCTTGGCATTCTTTCTTTCAAAATTTTCTTCTAATGTATAGTAGACGTCATTTTATTTCTTGACGTTTCGATCAATCAAGTTCATCTTCTTCGGAAGTGTTTGAATGATTAAGAATAGCACTGTAACTGTATTGGTGAGGGAGGTTACACCTTTTCGCTTTATTCACATCCATATATCTGCTCGCCTACTCTCAGACTCTTCGAATATTAATACTCTGCGATCTTGGATACGATTGAATCGAAATCAGCTAACTCAAAAAAATATTGCTTCATTCGACATTTTCAGATATGCACGATCATCGAAGTGTTGAAATTCTATCGATGCGTTATGCGTAGAAATATTTTTTGTTTTGTCAATCAACGTTGCTTAGAAATCATGCAAAACAACACTCATGTACATAGAAGTCATTAATATTCTGCATCGTGCTGTAATGTGGAATGCGAAAGCACGAGACACAAATCTATTGACAATAGCTTTTTTTTCATATAGCATAGAACACAAACTAATTTGTTTGTATGGTGCAATATTGGTAGCTGAAAAACTTTGAATATAATTAATTTGCAATGATCCAGCTTGGATGTAAAGACGTAAAACTTCATAAACTAGAAAGACATCGAAGCTCTTTAAGTAATTTTATTGAATAATCATTCAGTGGTCTTTGAATAAAAAGAAAATATTGTATATATAGCATTCATATAAATGCTAAATAGATATGCAAATTTTATTGAAAAAAACACAATCTAATTTTCTTCATCTTACTTGATTCGATAGACATTCGTTAGTTATAACTAGCTCATATAGTGACATGTTTGTCCACGGAAATCAAAATTTCAGTGAACTGCCAGCATCTTCCTCCGTCTCATCTGATAAATCATCTATTGCCCAGCTCAAAAATATCGATCAATCAAAGCGAAGAAATCGGTAAGGAAACAAATCTATTTTCTTTGCTGAATCATTGGACAATAAGTTTTTTTAAATTTTTCTCTCTTGAAAATAAAGTCCTTAGATGTCATCATTAGTATAGTTGCACTAATATACTATCTTTTTTCAGTATAATACGTAATCTTTACGCATCATGGTGTTGTTCATCATGTTGCCTATGCTTTATTATTGGCATTTTACTGGGCACAGTTGTATTAGCCACGATACTTGCACTCTGGCTTACATCCAGTTCTGGCACAATCGATGCTGCAGAGGGAAGTACATTAATGGTTCTATCAACTTTAAGTATGTTTCGAATTTTAACATTTAGATATCATCTAATTAAAAGAACGCTAAATATTGATAGCTATTGCCTTCAATTATCGTGTTGTCGGAAAGCTTTTTTTTTATATCTGAAAAATGTGGCTGATGACGACTTTCAAAAGACTTTATTAAGTGGTGTGAGCGTTGACCTATTAAAACTATCATCTGAAACTGATCAGTTGGTTTCGAGTTCTTGAGGTATCATGATTAAAAAATAGGAGTTGTCGTAATAAGGACTTACCATTTTTAATAGATTGACTAACAATTAATGTTAATATACCAATGTGATCCAGATGTGCCACCAATATTAACATAGCTCAATATTTTAAAAAGTTTGTTTTCATTCCATTAGCAATCTATTTTCATAACATGGTGGTTCCAGTATGAATAGAAGGTGAACCTACATGCGTCACCTCTCACATTATATATTGTTTGCCATAGAGTTTGGAAAAGGAACATATTTTTTCTAAAAAAAAAGAATTCTTTTGCGCAGAAGTGTTCAAAAATCAATATTTTCTACCACAAACTAGCCTAAGAATTTAGAGCTAATACAATGGGAAAAGTTTATATTCGACGAAAATTGAACGAAAATGCATTGAATGTTTCATATCTTCAGGAACACGTACACTAAAATCTTGACTACTCACTGGGAACGATAGCTACTTCAATGATGATCTTTTCAAACTAACGTAATACTAAATTTGATTGATATTTAAGTTCAAGACTTTCGAACATAGCTTCATTTATTAAGCAATACCTCTTAATACATACCTTCATATTTTTGCTTTAGCGACAACGTCAACAACAAGTGCTACTTCAGGTATGTACTACGTCCGATTAGCGTCAATAATAATTCTCACGACAAAGCGATAGTTCCACATAAATCATTTTTTTTGCTTGTCCATTCGAAGCATTCATATGAATGTGAATGCTCATGAGAACATCTATACAAGTTTGCGTACTTTTTCTGATGTCGATACATATGGACGGAGATGTAGGCGTCAATGTTTGAGAAACGCTAATCGTTTGTATACAGAAAAAATAAAGGAAAGTCAATGATGTGAAGCTGGCACTGCATGAAGCTGCCCCGACGGATTTAGATGCTCTCTAAATTCATCATGGTAGTTTAAAATCATGCGACCCAGGTCAGTAAAAAAGAATAGTTTGTACATAAGTATCAGGAATAGAAGATGCCCAACACAGAACTTCCATTGAATTAAATTTCACTTACTTTTATTCAGTCACGACGACAACGACAACTTTCACTAGCACTACAAGTGTTACGACGAGTTCGAGTACTACAACTACAAGCATCACGACGGCAACTGCCACCAGTAGCACAAGTAGCACAACTAGTTCGACTACTACAACTACAACCACCACGACCACCACAACTACCAGCGCAACGACTACGACCACTACCACTACAATAACAACAACTACTACAACATCCTTCGATTCATGTCAGCGATTTTGTAATTTAATACTAAGATTTCAATGCATGATATATTATTTTAGGTACGGGTTTTTCTTGGAATCAAACTGGTGAAGTTGTTGCAGGAACTGGCAGCTATGGAAAAAATGCTAATCAACTAGATAATCCAGATGGTTTGTACATTGATGCTAATGACACTCTATTCATTTCCGATACTAATAATGAACGTGTGCAAAGTTGGACATTGGGTAATGCAAGTGGTACAACAGTAGCCGGTAATAGTAATGGTTTATCAGGTTTGACTTCAACATTGTTAAACAATCCTGTTGGTTTAACTTTTGACAAAAACGGATTCATGTATGTAGTTGATTCTCAAAATAACCGAGTTCAACGCTTCCCTCCTAATTCTCTTGTCGGTACAACCGTTGCTGGGCAAGCATCTGGTTCGTCGTCAACAGCGCTGAACTCACTGAGGAGACCACTCGGAGTAGATGTTGATGACGATTTAAACGTTTACGTCGCTGATGGTGACAATCAACGAGTAGTGAAATGGACTCCGAATGCAACAACTGGCATTCTTCTTATTGATAATGGAATAATGGGCAGAGTCTATGGAATTCTGCTTGCACCTAATTCAACAAATCAGGTTTATTTGAGCGATGAAAATCGTGGTAGAATTTATCTATGGACATTTAATGCAACTAATCCAAACACCATTTTAAACCAAGTCAATGGTAGTATCGGCAATATGAATATGCCAAGAGGTATTATTTATGATATGTATAATAATTTATACGTTGCTGATGCTGGTAAATCTGTCATTATAAGATATTGTGTTAACTCTACTGTTGGTAATACTGTTGTTGGAGGTACTGGTACCACGCCTACGCTCGGCAGACCATCAGCTATAGCATTTGATTCAAATTATAATTTGTACGTGGCTGATGAGAGCTCTGATCAAGTTGTGAAATATGCTCGATTATAAATTCAATTTATCTTTTCCTTCTTCCGTTCCCAATGCCATACAAATAGATTTTCAACATTGCTACACATTTTGCATTTCACTTTCACATTATACTTATAACCAAACTAAACATTAATCAAGTTTGCAAGCACACTGATTGCTTTTTTTTATCAATGAGGGTGTGGGTGGGGGTGGGGGTGGGGGCGTTGGTGTGGGTGGGTGAGTGTGGATGGGTGTGGATAAGCAAATGAGCACACACACCGGCACCCATATCCACATTCCACCATACCACACGCTTACACTCATACCCACACCCCACCGACCAACACCCACACACCCACACCCACACCCACCCTTCAAAATATTCAAGAAAGCTTATACCTAAAGATTATACTGAGATGAAAAATCAGCTTTTACAGTGTTCTTCTCAGACAATTATTTTTCATTCTTAGTTAAATGACCTTTAATTAAATTATGTAACGCAATTTCGGCAACACAATGTGCCGATGCTATAACTTCGATGAATTAGATTGTCGAAGTTACATCTGCGACAAAATTTGTTGTCGAAGTTATAACTTTGGCACGCCATATACACCGCTAACATCTACGCATTTTGTTATATATAATATTGAGAATATTAAAAGTGCTGCACAAATCGCTCTTTTAGAGAATACACGATTTTTTATCAAAAAATACTTCATTTTTCGGAAAATATAGGAATATAGGACGACTACGAAGCCAGGCAATATGTGAATTTTTGTTTCTTTTTTCTTAATCTTTGAAATGAAAAGAAAAAACAATATTCTATTTGTCAATAAAAACTTGATATGACAGGAAAATTTAATTGATTTTAAAGTGAAAATAGTGTATAGTATCGTTGTTTAATTTGAATGAATATTCCTACTCCAGTTTAATAGTAGATATGTCTGAAAATTTATCTAACTTTTTTTGTTTTTTTTTTCTACGATGATATGATGACAAATGTTTCATTGGATTAGAAAACTTAAATGAATATATTTTTAAAATATTTATTTAATTGTAGAAAATACGTTCTTTCTTGGAAGAAAAAAAAAGCTACTTGATTCGACGGATAATTCAACTTTTGCAGTGAACAATTTGTCTCGAATATCTACATCATTCAATGTTCTTTTCTAAGTTTATTCTAAAATCGATATGTATTTTTTCCCTTAAATGAAAATCTGATAGTCACAATATCGATAAATTGACAATCAACTTTTCGACGATATTTTCTTCCAAGGAAGAACGTTTTTATTTTTTAAGATTAAATAAATATTATCAAAATGTAGTTGTTTAAGTTTTCTAATCAAGTAAGACATTTATCTTCATAGCATTGTATAAAAAACAAAAAAAAGAAGCCAGGTAAGTTTTCAAATATATCTACTATTGGACTTGACTAGAAATGATTATTCGATAAAATAATCATACTATACACTATTTTCACTTATTGACATATTGCTAATTTGTTATGACTAAGTTCTATCGAACAGTCTTTCAATAAAATATACATAGTTTCTAGTATAATTTTAGCTAAAAAGATAATATTATAAAAAGATAAAATAAATAGTAATAATCTGTTATGTTAAAAGACTGAGAAGAACGAAATATATTTATATTGAATAAAATAGTACGAAGGTGAATGAAAACATCATTTCGAATAAATTTAAATTCTATTCGAAAATCTAATAATGTCGAACTTATTGAAATGTTTTATTTTTATTTTAAGAATGAAATCGTTTTATTCGGAATGAATTAAAAACAATCAAATTAATTTATTTTTCGATATTATATTTATCTTTCATAATAAATATGTCCATTTCAAATTTATTCTTATTTAACCAAATTGATTTTCAATGAAAGTATTATTTGAAAAATAATATATTTATCTAATATATAAAGAAGACAGTTTGTTTGTTTGTATGTTTGTTCTTTATGCATTCAGTTCATACTTGGAACCAGGCCGGCAGGCCGACATCGGACCGGCCGGTTTCTGCCGGTTTTTTTGTCACTTTTAGAGATAATGCATCATTGTTCTGTAGCTGTTATACGTTATAACGGATAAAAATATCACGTTAATAATTGAAAATTTAAGTGTGAGAGGTGAGAGTAAGAAAACAATATATGAAGCAATGTTACTTTAGTTTTACATCACTGTACAATTCTGAAAGTTGAGTCCCGAATTTTATTCTTTATTGGTTTCCAGGCAACAAGCAGCAGCACGTTTGCACTTTATACTGCAGTATTACGTTGAAGTGACGCCCAAAAAGAATTCGGATCTTCAAGAATCAATTTTATATTTATTTGATAGTTTGCATTCTCTTTTGATGTATTTATTGTATATTTTTGCCAAATTGAAGATGGTTAGCCTATCGTTTTTACTATTTTTATTTGTATTAAACAATGATTTATGTCCAGTGACTGCTTTCATTCATACTACTACCATAGAATCTAAATCTATAGTATAATGAAGACTATTGTCTCATATCTCACCGAAACATCTTTTTTCTCACAACGATAAACATGTCGAAACTGATATTGCATTAGCTGAGTTCTTATCTGTCATACCTTAAAAAATACGTACACTTGATTTTTTATCTGTCAAATTATATCATGAAACCGGCCGGTTTTTTATCGGTTCAGTCACAAATGCAGACCGACTGGTCCGGTCTTAAAAAAACTGGACCAGTTCCAAGTATGATTCAGTCCCTGTAAGACCTAGAGCAGCCGAACTTTGCATGGCACATCATTGGGTCTAGGGGAAGGTCAAGACGGGGTGGGAGAAACGGAGAGAGGGGAGGGGGGCCAGTTCTCCCTCCGCTCAGTGTTCAAAAAATGGTGGAAAAATTTTCGGATTTTTTAAAAAATATCGAAAATGTTGTTCGATTTCTGAAGTACTCTCCTTCGGCTTTTATCTCTTCAAACTGTCCCTGAATCAAGGGTTAGTTTTTAATCAAAAACTTTTACCTCCGACATACTTAGTAATCCCATTGTTGGAGTACTACAGTAAGTGTCCCATCCAAAAAGTCTGTGTGTACGATTGGTTTCTCAATAACTAGAGAACGAAAGAAGATAAAGACCTACGGTTTTCACTATTCAACACAAGAGATTCTAGGGTATGAAATTGTACTCAAATTTGATTAGTAGATTTGCTGATCAATCCGATATTAGCATACTTTAATGATCAGTAATATTGTTTTGATCAAGTTTTCAACGAAGATGTTTCAAAAAGATGACAATGTTTTACAAAGAAGTTTTTTTTAACTTCAAACTAATGTAGATTTAAAATATATTAAAATGCCAAAACTAGAGATGAGCAAAGTGATCTCGGTCCCAGTTCCAATTTTTTCTGGCCGGAACCAGGATCGGGACCAAGCCCGAGACCAAAATTTTTTTCGATTGAGATCGAGCAGGTATGGGAACCAAAATTTTTTGACTGAGACCAGTATCGGGTTCGAAAAATACTGGTCTCGCTCATGTCTAGCCAAAAAAAAATTGAAAATAGAAAGAGATCCGAGCGCATTTTGCAACATCCAAGATCGATAGCTTATAAGAAGCCATAAGACCATCGTTTTCCAATATGTCAAGCATGCCATATTGAATTTTCCCGGGCAACGCCAGGTATTTCAGCTAGGAACTAATAAAGTACTATGTAATTTGATACGGAAAAGTCACAATAACAGTTCTTACTGCTCTGATGCTTTGTCTTGAGCTGATTTATCGTTCAACAGGGCTAAAAATGTTAACAGAACAGGAGAGAAAACGTTGTTGCTTATTCATCTCTAATCCAAATCCATTAACATTTCGCATATCACCCCGGAGGGGTTTTTAAGGGTATGTATTCGCAAAATAAAATTTTATTTTGCGAATACATACCCTTAAAAACCCCTCCGGGGTGATATGAATAAGAATTTCATAAGTCGAAAAAAATTATCTAATAGATTTGTTTTAAATTGACATTTTCTTGTCTTGTTTTATGCATAAAAATTCTCTTGCTTCTTATTGTTTTTTAAAATATTTTGAACATTTCCATCAATCAAATTGATTTTCAGAAAAAATTTGAACATTTACGATAAACGAATACGGCAAAACTAAATGTAAAAGATAATTATAAGAATGACACATACAATTGTCAAAAATAAAATTGTACTATTTTTCACTTATTTTATTAATCATATATATACCTAATTAAATTATATTCCATAATTATATAAATATATTTACTGTCAAAGAATATATTATATAGTAGCGTCAACTATCGATAATAATCCAGCGCTCTCTTTTCATACATTTTCTATTTCTATACAACGATATTGTGTGGTTCTTTAATCAATACAAAAACGACTTTTTGTGCATATGTATATGTCAGCGTCCAAACTGAGATTACGTCCAATCTTAGATTGGCCTAGGTGAATGTCGGATTCGACATTGGACGCGTCCAATCTCGGATTGACGCAATTATGTTCACTAAAAAATCAATTACTCTTTAGATAGACGTCGGAGTCGAACTATTTTTTGAAATTATGTTCGCACAATGCCGTTTTAAGTAATACAAGCATTTAGAAAGAAGCTAAATTTAGATTCAAAAATTTAATAAAAATTTTTCATCAAAGTTGTTGTTTTCTAGAAATTTATTCATAACTCCTACAATTTTACTAAAATCTACCAAATGATCATTGTGCTAAATAAACAGGCATTGTGTGAGCATAACTCCAAAAACCAATTCGAATCCAACGTTTATCTAAAGAGTAATTGATATTTTAGTGAACAGAATTGCGTCAATCCGAGATTGGACGCGTCCAATGTCGGATCCGACATTCGCCTAGGCCAATCTGAGATTGGACGTAATCTCAGTTTGGACGCTGACATNATTATACTGTTCTATATTTAAAGTCTCATCAAAAGTTTAGAAAAACAAATTTTGCAAATTTATCAATCAATAATGAAAAAATGATCTGAAACCGTATACATTCTCTTTCATAATACTTGTCAAGAAAATAAAAAGTCACATGGTCTTATTTTTTCTTTCTGCATATCTCCATAAGTGTATCACTGAATCATTAGCAACAACTCAAGCTAAAGTACTACTAGAAGTACAAGGTGGTAAACATGAACTACATCATGTTGATCTACCAGCAGAATCATTATCAACAACTCAAGCCAAAGTCTTACTTGAAGTACAAGGTGGAAAACATGAATTACATCATATTGATCCACCAGGAGAATCATTAGCAACAACTCAAGCTAAAGTACTACTAGAAGTACAAGGTGGTAAACATGAACTACATCATGTTGATCCACCAGCAGAATCATTATCAACAACTCAAGCCAAAGTCTTACTTGAAGTACAAGGTGGTAAACATGAATTGTATCATGTTAAAAGTCCTCCAAAAGATGGTTTAACTGATGCTGAAAAACAAGCTTATCTAGAAGAAAAGCATCAAAAACAAGCTTAATATTCAATTTTAAACAGACTTAATATAGAAGCTTGTCTCGTTCGGATAATTCTTTTTTTCATTTACTAAATAAAACTGGATTTGTTTAACATAGAATATATAGATGATATATATATATTCAAGGATAGTTTGCTAATGATTTAGTGATACACTTATGGAGATATGCAGAAAGAAAAAATAAGACCATGTGACTTTTTATTTTCTTGACAAGTATTATGAAAGAGAATGTATACGGTTTCAGATCATTTTTTCATTATTGATTGATAAATTTGCAAAATTTGTTTTTCTAAACTTTTGATGAGACTTTAAATATAGAACAGTATAATGTCGACCAGACTATCATCGACTGTATTGAAAATAAAAAGAAGTAATACTAAGTTCATTAAAATATCTAATAACAGATAGCCTGAAAATTTTGCAAAAATAATGTTTCTTCATTCTTCGATCGGTTAGAACAGTCAACCGAAATTTTTAAATTTTAGTTTATAATCAGAATTCTGTGCCGTGTCTGGATTTAGATTCACAGTTTGTATGAAAGTCATAGGTTGAATTTATGCACGAATCTTTGAGTGGTCTGAAAATTAAGTTTGAACAGAAACAGATCCACTAACAGATTCAAAGATGGAGAATGTAACTATATCACATTTGACATTAATTCCATGGTGTTTTTCAGTGATTTTTTTCTCGGCATCTTCATGTTTCTGTCGTAAAGACGCCAATTTTGCCTAGTCTGACATTCTTTTGTTTGATTGAATTCCGTTTTGAAAATTTTTTGTACCAGTCTCTAGAATATAAACGTTCTTCTCAACAATGACGCCTTTTATTGAATACATTCTATTAGATGTATTCATAACTACTGACCTATGCTTGTCACAAAAAAAAACGATTTTAGATAACCTATTGTTACATTGGTCATTTGCATAAAAAATGGAAAAGTTAATAGTACTAGTAAACCTTTTCTATATAATAATGAGATCTTCTTATAGATATCAATGTTTATAGAATCATGTTTTTTTTATTACTATCACCATATGATTATGCAAGCTTCTAATTGGACCGACTAAGAAGTGTGTAAGCGAGTTTTTTTTTATTGATTAAATGTTCACACAAAAAGTTTTCTAAATCTGGCAAAATCTATTGACTTGTCTTGTCATACATGTGGTTAACTACTCGATTGTATTTTTGACAAAACTACTCGTTATGACCATGTATACATTTTTAGTGTATGTCATATTTATCTTTACTATTAATGCAAGATTTACGACTGTCGTTCTTACTGTAAAAATTTCTCGTGTTAAATTTATGCTTATTGACTCGACATAGTTTTGAATTGTCGGTAGCACCTGGGCAATTAACTGTGTCGGCATTGGCTTTTTCAATAAGTAGATATATCAGTTAATTTGTTTAAGCTGAGACATATACATGATGCTGAATGACAATCAACTTCATTGCCAGCTCCATAAAAACAATTCCAGAATTTGTTACAACCTATTACAGCAAATATAGATGTTATTGCATGATCATTGTTCAAAATTTGTTTCATTGAATTCTGTAAAACCGTCAAAAATTCTTTGAAATGAAATATGATATTGAACATAGTTAATTTCTTGAAACTTATCCTCACAAAAAATATTACCATCATACTGTTTTCATTAGCAGTTATCATCTTGGATGATATAGTTAGGAATATATTCGTTTGTAGTTTTACATTGGAAGTGTTTTTAAAGTCACTCTGATCATAGAAAATTATTTTGTGATGAAGACGAAATTTTGAGATATATTCCTATGTGTTGTCACATCGATACATAGCTGATTCATTGCAAGACATAGAATAATTGTGAGTCATTGTACGATATCACTATAATACGCATATGACGCCATAAATATTTATTTACACTAAATAAAATCAGTGAAAAATCTTCTCAATAGCAACATATGTTATTATTGATTGAAAATAATGCTTTGTCACTGGCAAATATGTTGCAAAGCTAATGATCGTAGCACGTAAATTACGATAGATTTGACAGAAAAATAAGCGTACTGTAAGTAATTTTTTGTCTAAACCAAGTACGCATGGCCGAATACAATTAAAACAGATGGTATTTACAAAATGTTACGACAAGTTTTTTGAATATTTCATTGTATAGATTCCATTTATGCAAAAACTATAAAACATTGAATTCTTCGATATTGACACATTAACTCAGGCACTTGAATATTGACTAACATATATCCTTTGCTAAGTTGAGCTTAATTACACACATACTATAGAAGTTGGACATTGAGTTGCTTAATGCATGCATTTGTTCAATACGTTAGAGAATTCTTCAGTTTCAAAATATTATCCAATCCATTAAGACAAGCAAGAGCATTCGTATTATCACAAAAGAATTTATAAGGTATACATTGCTACTTGATACATTAGAATTCATCAGATTTGCATTAGTAAATTTTCCGTTTTCAACAATGCTTTTCATCATGCTCGCCATCAATACAATTCAGTTTTCCATCACAACTTTCACTATGATTAAAACATGTTGGAAGTTTGACCACAATTACATTGTAGATGAGTATTGTCCAAAAGGGAAGAGAATGATTTAAGGATATATTAGTTAACGAACATGAAGCTACAAAATACAATGAATATTTGAGAAACAACGTTCTAGTGTTCTTGAATGAAGTAAAATAAATGAATAAACAAAATATTGAAAAAAAAAGCATTTACTTGATACAACAGATTTTTCTCTAATATTTTCTTTTGAGAAAGAAAAATTTAAAGTCCAAAGTCTCAGAATTTTCTTTTCTATATTGCATATCTAAATGTTGATTAAAGCGATCGATTTCAAATGTTTAAAACATGGAAAAAAATAATGTAATGATTAAAGTTGACATCATTTTTTGTTTTCTATATTTAAAAAAGAGTAATAGCCAACTAAATGATTGAGAAAATTATAATTAATGTGACTTGTCAGATGAATAAAAAAACCTTATTTTGAACAGTATGTCTAAGCACAACAGCAACATTGTTTTTATCTGCGACATTGTTTCGCACAAGATACTCTTTTGGACTAATGGTATTCTTGCTTCGACTAATGTGAATTTTATATTGAAATGAATATTAATAAGAAATAAGGCGTAGTATTCAAGAAATATAAACAGTATGTCAACTAAATCCTGATTTGAGCAAACAAATGACACTTATGCATTCTCTTTTATCTGATGAAATAGTAATATGAAATTTATAATTTCAGAACAATTATACGATTCAGTAATTTGTTCCCAACATGGATAATGACTGATATAGGTTTATTATCTATTGTCAATACAGACATATTCCAATCCACCCCGTTTTTTTTAAAATCATCTGTACACAACATATTATCTTATATCTCTATCGTTATGATATACTTCATTTTAGAAATGTCAATATTGAAACTTTTGGATAGGTAATCATAGAATTATTTCATTCAGACTAAATCAATGTATACTTTTACAAAGTTTGAAATTAGTAAACGGAAATAGATTCGGTTGGTTTACACTTAAAACGTGTGACATGTTTCTTTTTCTACTTTTTGATGAGACAAAAGGACAAAATACTGTGATAACTTCACAGTTTATTTAGTCATTCATAGTTTCTTTATTACAGTACACGTTGGTCTGATAAGATAAATTAGGATGAATAAGATGAAAAGCACGCGTTTATCAGTAGGCAAACATATTCCTTTTCTTGTCGTCAAATACACATATAGAATTCTCTTTTTAAAACATATATGGCAAAACCAAGTGGAGGATCTGATTATGATTTAATTTTTAAATTGGTTCTTATAGGTGATAGTTCTGTTGGAAAGGTATGATTGATTCTCTTTCAATACTAATTTACTATTTATTCTTTATTAATAGAGTAATCTTTTATTACGTTTCACTCGTAATGAATTTCGTCTTGATACTCAATCAACAATAGGAGTTGAATTTGCTTATAAACAACTTATAATTGATGGAAAAAAAATAAAAACTCAAGTTTGGGTAATTTTCTTATTTTACTTTTGTTCTTGGAAATTCTTCTAAGTTTATCATAATAGGACACAGCAGGTCAAGAACGTTTTAAAACTGTTATACCACAATTTTATCGCGGTAGTGAAGGTGCCCTAGCTGTATTTGATTTAACTAAACCTGAATCATTTGAGCATATTACAAATTGGATTGAAGAATTACATCGACATACACCAGCTGATGTACCAATTGTTCTTGTTGGAAATAAATCTGATTTAGTTGATCAACGTAAAGTATCCCGTCAACAAGCAACAGCTCTTGCTGAAGAACTTAATATATCATATATGGAAACATCAGCACTTAATGCATCTAATGTTGAACAAGCTTTCATTACAGTTGTTACAGGTATTTTTTATAAGAAAATGCCAAAATCAGTCGATAATTCATCGTCATCAGGAGCAATGACATCAATAGGACATGCACCAACATTAACTGTTCCTGTGTCATCTGATGCGCAAGTTGTAATTTCACAAAATCAAAAATCATTTCGTTTAAAAGATAATAAAAAACCAACAGATCAAAATAGCACTGGATGTTGTAAAAATTCTTAATTCATTTTTTTGTCGTATTTTTTTAAGATTAAATATCAATGAAATTAATTCTATCAATCCTATAAGAATATTTCTTACTTATAATGGATTAATGAATACTATCTTATAAAAGATAAAGAAAGACATTAGTATAAAACAAACAACTGAATATTGTGGTAATTTGGAGATATATTTCGTATGAAACCGTCAATAGCCTTTGTTTTATTTACATAATTATGTTTAAAAGAAAAAAAACTCGCTTCAATGTGCACAAAAATACTAATAATTCAAGCTAAAGTATTCCAAAAACAGGAAAAAGAAAAACTACACGATAATATTGTGATTAGCTGAAATAGATGTAAATTCTTTAGATGGTGCTAATAATTGACTTGTACCAGTACTACCAACTGCAGAGCCAGCTGGAAAAATAACTGTTGGAATAAAATGAGAAAGAGCTGACGATGAAGTCGATATAACAGTACGATTACGATGAGCTAATGGCGATTCAGTAAGCATTGTAGGATTAAAAATATTCTCTCCAGAAAATGAGTGTTTTTGTAGTGCAAATTGTTGATGTTTAATTAAATGGCAATCATGTGTTTTTGATGTTGTTGATCCATCAAGCCAATGAACATGTTGTTTTTTAAGTGAATTTGCACGAGAAAAACTTAGAGTAATATTATTTTCAGCTGACACGCCGACATCATCGTTACTCGACTCCATATATGGGCCATTATACGAACTAAGCACATCAACAAGAAGATACTTTTTGAGAACAAAAACAATCTAATTTGCTTATACCGTAGAGCCTCCATCTGTTTCGTTTTTATCATCATACGTGGAGGCAGATTTTCCATCAGTTTTATGCGAGGTCTTCTTGACAAACTGCAAAAAATAGAAATTAAATAAAGAATTAATGACAGTCTCAAATTACTGTTCAATAAAAAAAGCGTGCCAGGAAAAAAAAATATAAAGCAATGTGAACAAAAGAAAAAGCACAACGAAAATACTGCCACCAAATACAAACAAAAATATTCGTCGGCGAATATAAATCTCTAACATATATTTCTTTTGGTTGTTTTCTGTTTAATTCACATACATAGAGATCCCACAAATGATGTGGTGATGAATTCGAATTAATTAGTAGCTCATTATTGTTAGTAGCAATAACAGAAGAAGATAGCAGGTGACGAGTAGGAATGTTTTGCCAACAACTGTCAATGAAGGAATGTTTGAAAATATTTGCTTAAATGTGTGTGAATTAAAATAATAATCACACATAAATATCCATCAAAGTCAACAAGAGAAAGAAGAAAGCAAAGATTTGAGAGAAAAAATTCTTTTGTTGAAGTTTTTATTTTGAAATAATCAAAAAGAAAAAAAACTTACGAAAACTGAATCAAAAAAGTAGTTTCGATATCTATAACCATAATATTTAGTTTTAATATTCTTTCAACTTCTATATTATAATATAATATTGTTTCTTTGGTTTTTTTTTAGAAGAGTCTCATATTATGAACGATAAAGAATGAGTACTTACTGACGTCGTATACAACAAATGGCAACTACAATAATAGGAATAAGTAGAGCACCGACAGTGATTAAGAGCCAGATGGCTAACTCGCCTCCCATTTGACCTTCAATTCCCATCATTATTACATTAAATTAAAGAATTGATTCAAATAACTTACGTTCCGTATATTGTGGAAACATTTGCTATTCAAATAAATTATTAAAACAGCACTATACACTAAAAAAGTGTAAATAGTTTTTATGCGTTGTCGAAGTGGAAAAGAGTCCTTGTTTTATTTCTTTTTTTTATTAGTCTGTGTGTCTGTCTGTCTGTCTGTCTATATCGATCGAACAAATAATATAATATTTACTATTCTCACTATAGCTGTATAGAATTGTAACGACGTAACGAGCTCTTAAATCTTTTTGTACACATAGAACGAATCATAAGTAGACGGCGGCGACATCATCAATTGCTATTATTCTTACTATTAAAAGAGTCTCCCTGCGCTCAATCATTGCAACTATGAGAAAAAAAGAATAGTGTAGTTGACCTAAGGCAAGAAAGAAAATTATAGCAACAAACGTACATGGGACTGCTCTTATCACGTCTTATGCTTGAAAATAAGTAACGACTGCTTTTCTCACTATGCACACTTTTTTTTTCCATTTTTTTCTCTCTTTCCTCTTCTTTCAGAGAACGAAGAATTTACGTTTAAGTTGAGACGTCACCATTTGAAGTACACAGAACAGAATAAACAGAGAGACATTAATAGTTGAACAATCTGATATTTCAATATAGAAACAAGACAAATTTTATTCATGGCCTTTTTTATATTCAAAGATGTGTTTATATTGACCCTTTAACGTTAATGTCTGACAACATTGCTGTTTAGCAATTATCACTTTCTGCATATAAAATTTCAATATGCATGACTAAGTTGAAGTACAATATTGAAAAGGTCAAAAAACATTAAGATGAGACATTGGATATTAAGACTTTTATACCATCATCAACCTTTAACAATATTTATTATAGTACAGAGATAATAAATCTAATATTGAAGCAATTATCTAGCAAGAGTTTCAGTATTTTCATGTCATGTTCTTCCAACTAATAGAAGATAATCTAAAAGAACAGAAAAAACCAAACGCGTCAACGACCATTTTTTTCTTTACATAAGAGTGTAAACATTTTCCTTATGAGTATCCTAAATCGTTTTTGATGTCAAAGAAATATGAAAAGTGCAGTCATCATGGCAATCATAAGAACAAAATAAAATCTAGAATAATACAATTTTGCATTGCGTTCTGTATATATTGATTTGATTCCGTAAAAATATTTTTAAAACAGTAAAGGTACTTTGAAAAATCGATATTGCCGTAAAAAAGTGATGCAGTATTCAATATGATATCTCTGGCTACGTTTTCAGTTTTTCAAACTTTTCCTTGGGATTTGAGAGTGTATAATGAACAACTTATTCAATTATTATTAAATCATTTTTAACACCAGTATATTGTCACTATATCGACGAAAAAATTACGGTGATAATTTAAAAACAAGCGAGTAACGACATCCACTAAGAAGTTTCATATGCACTTAACTTGTTTTAGGGTGTTGGTGAAGAATACATAAACAACTGCCAACTTTAAAGTATATACATCAAATAGAACAGTCTTTTATTTTTCATTGGTTGTTACATGTGACAATAACCCACAATGCGTTATATACTTCAACAACGGATAATTTTATGAGTTGTAAATTATTCGAGAATATATCGTTTTTTCTTAAATTAATTGATGTAGTAATTTATCATTTTTATGCATAAAATTATTGGTTGATAAGATTATTTCTATTATTTTATAATTAAGTTTGCTGTATTCCTCTTCAATAAAAAGACATATTCATTCATCTTAAACCTAAATCTCGAAGATTTTTCTTGATATTTATTGACTGAAAACAATAGTTAACCATTAAATCTAAGAATCAAATGATGAGTTATTGACGTCAACTAATAGAGCATAGTAAGATATACCTACGCACATAGATAAAGGAAAAAATGATGTTTTGATGCATTGAACACAAAAATTGAAGAAAACAACGCTGTAAAACTCGTTTACTTCTGGTATTACGAAAGATGTCGTGTTAAAACGCATTTTTTGTGTCAACTTGTTTTAAAGCGTTGATCAGATAAAATCGACGGTGAGGCTCGTTTCAACGAGCTTAGATAGATACAATAAAAAAAACTGTGCAGTAATTCGTTGAAACTCCCTTATATCATAATTTTACTCAGGCAGATGCGTTTGAACGTTAGTTTTCAAGAGTTTTTTTTTTCGTTTTTATATCATACTTATCTGATACGCTAAATTGTATCGAGTGTAGTTCATTAAATAGAAGTACAAGCACACATTATAGATTTCAATGACTTCTTCTCTTCAATTTTTATTCATCTGTAATAAGATCGAACTTTGACAGAAAATATTTTTTTAAACTATGAAATTATCTACTCCAAAATTCACATCAGTGTGCTATCTGATAGACATTGATACACACAAGCAAGTATTATGAATGAAAATCCTTTTATTGCATGATTTCATAGTAGAAAAAGAAATTCAAGAAGCAAAGAGAGATGTGGGGTAAAATAGCCAGTTATAGTCTCAAGCTGATATTTCTCTTCGATTGCCTAGGGTGTATAGAGCAAATTCTAGTTTATTTTAAAAAACAAATAAAAGTCAACACTGTAGTGGATATATTCGAAACCGAATCAAATAGGCATTGTAATGCAAAACTATCCTTTCTTTAGTTCATGATATATGAATTATTATTCACTGAGAAGTAGAATATAAACGAATGCCTATATAACAGAGTAATGAAAATAATTCATGATTATGCCAAGGTGTTTCAAAATATCGTGATTATAGAAATTGTAGATATTTTGATGCTTTATTTCTTGACTCTGGACAAAATATATCTTTAATTAAGAGTGCTAATAGATGTAGCTTAATCATCTGTGCCTCTATGGTCATCAACAATCATTGTATATACATCACTCTTTGTTTCTTTGTCTTGTAACTATTACAACTGAAAAGGACAATTATTACTTCATTCATTTATTAAATAGGTCAGCTGCAGTCAATTGATGATAACAATGGAATGACTTGTCTTATCCTTAATCGATCACAGTTTTGTTCCTATTGAGAGATGAGCTATATTCTCTTATCCATCAAAATAAAATTAACAAATACTAAAATAAACTCACTTTCCAGTTTCACAAAAGGTTAAACCACTTCGAATTTCGAAACAGAAAGAGTCATTTCTTTAGTCTTTCTGGCTGTTATTTAAAGCAATTTTAAGGCTTTGATGAGTGGAATAACGAGAGAATTAAATAATTACTAAGTCCTAGTAGTCAATAAACTTGACTTCATTTCATTTCCCTATGAGCATATAAAATCTAGGTTTTTTTAAACTCTTTGGTGCCGGCTATGACATATATACCACTTGGAGTATTTCTCAAAATTTTGGTATGATAGAGACATGAAATCAATCGAAAGTAAGTGAAAATAGTTTGCATAATTGATTATGCATAATTAATTGTTTTAAAACTTATCACATCCTAAAACATTTTTGATAATGATTGTTGATTGAATAAACATATATTTTTACTTACATAAAAAACCTATATTTTTTCAAAAAAAATTCCACCAACAATTATTTTTTTAAAATTTCTTTGAAAAATGTATGATAAGATGGACAGAAGCTAACACGTAGAAACTTTGTTGAGTGAAACAGAACTCAGAATGTCACTTTCCAGCGATTCTTACAAGCATTGTAAATAAAGAATAGAGATAATTCTATATGCAGTAATTACTACAGATATGCGTGGGAGGAATGTAACAAAAATATTTGTTTAACCAAAGTCTAATTGTCCTAAACGCTTCAGTCCAAAACTGATGATTAGTGTGATTTGATAATGTTGCGTAGGATACAAACTTTTTTAAATAAGATAATGGCTTTAAAAAGTGCAAGAAAATATTATTTTATCTTTTGAAGAAATTTTCTAGTGAAGGACATGAGCAACACAATTCTTTCATGTCAGCGAAAATTGAAGTGAACCAATGGCATTTCTGACACATAATCTTAGTAGAGGTTCATAAGAAGGTGTGGTGTTTACCTGTATCCATGCCTACACCCACACCATCAATGATAGCTACAAATGACCTAATGTTGATAGAGCTATTGTCTTGCAATTGAAGACTGCTGATCTAGACATTCTCAGCAATATGATCCATCACAAATTTTTGCCGGTCATTTTATCACATTTTTCGTTTTTTGAATATTGTAATATTTTTCCGTCATACAACATCTTTTAAAGATCCCCAAAAAAGTCAGCTTTCACAAAACGTTTTCTTCGAAAAAAGTACTCCATAAACTCTTCTTCCGATATTTGAAAGTTCTATCTCTCTCTACCTATTTTATTATTGATTTATTAAAAAAAACATTACTATCAACCATTCTTTTCTACATGGGCAATGACTATATAGCCGCTCAATTTTTCTCCACCCGCGACAAGAACTTTGCTCGAATTAAATAGGGCTCCATATTGTCTGTTGATGGATCAAATGTTTCAGAACTATCCAGATAACCAGTATATCCGTAGCCAGCCGTGTCAAGAACTTTGCCTGAATTTAGCAGAGTTGTAGTATGTGAAGGACGTTCTACTTTCATGCTAGTAATATTGTTCCATTGACCCATTGATGGATCATATATTTCACAACTAGATATATAAGCGGTATTTCCTACCCCACCAGTGATAAGAACTTGGCCCGAATTGAGCAGAGTTGCAGTATGAAATTCACGTGCTGCAGCCATACTTACGGTAATGTTCCAATGGTTCGTCGATGAATCATATATTTCGGAACTATCGATATAATTCGCCGATTTATAACCAGCAGTGACTTTGCATGAATTGAGCAAGATTGCACTATGAACATGACGTGCTGTTACCATTCTTGTACGAGTGTTTAATTGGCCTTAAGAAAATAACATTACAGCAGAAATTAGTCTTATAACAGTAGTGATACGCAAACTAATCGAGATTCAAAGTTCTTTCAAGTTAGTGGAAGCTTTGATCGATAGAAAATTTTTCAGCATGTAGGGTTAACAGGAGCATTATTTGCAGTTGAAGGTTGGCTATATAGTATGGTCTTTATTTCGAAGATTTCTACTTTCACTCGAACAGCTGTGAAAGAAGTACACATCGATGCCGTTGGTGATTGAGACGCTGAGCAGGTCGTTTCATGGTGAACCACTAGGAAATACCTTCAATTGAAACCTAATGTCTCAATACTTGTTTTTTCGGATTAGTAACCAGCATCAAAAAATGAATCGAATAATGTATTATTTTTTCTGTTTGGATAGGTTTCACTGCTTTCAAATAATTTGAGCTATATCGTTAGAGTTATGAACCCAAAAACCACTGTTTCCAATTTTCTGGCTCAATTGACCAGCTATTTACTACACTTGATCTATTTTTCTCGTGAAAGCCGCATAAGATATACCAGAGATAAAAAATACTCGATCAGTTTGGTTACTTTTATGTTAGTGTTTGTAAAAAACCAACCTAGAAGCGGGGCACATTGAAACGACCGTTTTGTTGCTCAGATGTTCTACTAGCAAACCTTAACGTGAGCACTTTTGATATTAAACTTCTTTGTACGTCAACATCTTTGACCGCATGTGCAAGGATTTCGCAGCGATTTTTCAAAAAAGTTCATTTTTTGATCCGGCTGAAGTCGCAAAAATTCCATTTTCGCATGCCGTTTCGAACCAAAAAAGGTTTTCCCCTACCAAAGTTATTCCAGAAAGTACTCTGAAAAATTCGTATAGATCAATTCAAAACAACTGACGCCTTCGCATTTAACACGGGCTCCTATACCCATATGCTTGATTGTGTCTGAAGTGCATGTCACATAGATTCAATTCGTATTCTTTATGGGTGAGATCAAATGAAATAGTTTTCATAGTTTTGGATACAAACTACTTTCGCTCGACATTCGACCAATGAGCCACAATACAACAATATTTTGAACTTGGTGATTTCTCCAGCTAAAGGTTTCAAAAAAATACTTTTGGCCCAGTCATTTTTAAGAAATTATGGAGATTGGTTCGAAGGTCGAAAAATCCTGATTATATCACTGTTTTGAGAGTACCCGAAATCAAAACACATATCTGATTCAACTTTGTTGAAGACATTAAAATGAAATCAAAACAGAATTAAATTAATTTTTAATTTTGAAACACGATGAAACTCGATTTCACCAACTAGTTATTATTTTTACAGGATTTCTTTCTTATTACTTACAAGCACAATCTACTTTCTATGCCTAATTGTTCTTCCAACTTCAATGTTTTGTCTTACTTATATTATGAAGATATCTCCTCTTCTGCGTTAACGAGCATGAATTCACTTGCTTATATATCTAGCGTTTATGATTACATCTAGTTCTTTTCTCGTGTACGTGTCTCGTTTTTTGAAAATGAACGAAAAATTTCTGATCGAAACAGAAGAAAATAATCGGAACATATTGTGAAGTAACATCCAACGTCCTCAAAACTAACCGCCACAATTTTCAAAATTAGACTAAAATAGGCAAAGGCAGTGAAAAAGGACGGCAATCAAATGCAAACCGAAAGATTTGTCAATTCTGATGATACCCACAAACAAGAAGGAAACAGCTTTCAAATACCCTAGCAAACTCTGCAACAAAAACAACAATCTTCTGTATGGTCGTATTTTCAAGATGCGTTATCCCAAGCAAGCGAATGTGATAAAATTGTAAAGCAGAGTCATAGAAAATAGTCCATCGTTCACTGTTACTAAACTATCGAAACATTCCCTCAGAATCGTATAAGCAAAACATTGTCATCTATAGAAAGAAAGAGAAAGAACAGCCTTTTATCATATTCCTATATTTCATTTGATATAAAATTCGAATTAAAAGAGCTGAAAAAGGAAGAAACACAGTCAATATAATCATTGCATACTGTGACCCTCTAGAGGATAGCTAGTATCGAGTTTTAAGTACGACACACACAGTCGAGATGACGCCTAACACTATGATTCTACCGGCAATAGACTCTTGACATCTGCATTGAATATTTGAAAACAAGAAAGTCAATTTCAAGTGGGAGTCAATTTGATCGCTTAACGGCTTCCTGTCCTCTTTCAGGATTGGTAAAAGTTGAGCACAAGGAAAGATGAGCACGGAAAGTTAAGCACGGAAAGTTGAGCGCTGGAAAGTTAAGAACGAAACAATACAATTAATTCATACCTGGAGAAAATAAAATGGAAAGTTAACACGAATATTCGTGAGGTCAGACACTAAGTGCGCATATAAATAGTAAATAGTTAGACTTTTTTCTAATTGATAAATCTAAACGAATAGACAATAGAAGATTAATCCTGCTATTGAAAAATGACAAAGCACTTATTCTCCGATATACTGTATTGTGTAACATGGCAATTATTCCCAATAATAGTTAAACGAAGTTTTGACAAATGCAATATTATAACTAATATTATTAAACCAACAACGAAGCATAGATACTCTTCAAGTGTTGCCATATTAAAGCTTTAAAACTTCGACTAGTTAATCTTACATAAGGGCAAATAATACAAGAAGCTATTAATTGTCCAACTAAATCAGTGCTGTATTGTTCTCATCGAACATTACAGGCATTTCTACAAAAATGAATCGATCAAAATAAATCGATGAAAATGCCACTCATCTTGATGTAATACTAATAAAAATTGGCTAAACGCGGAACTAGCGAAAAAACCCTAATAGAAAGAAATTATTAAATCTTATTTCAACACCTACTCGAGGTATTCTAACTAAAATTTCTTCAATCGCACATAATATTTCAATGTCATTCTTGTCTATTACTAAATATTTTCTTATTAAATAAATATAAACGCTTATTCCCTATTCAATAAATGCCATATATATGTTAATTTTATATTTTCGTGCTTAACTTTCCTCGTGCTCAACTTTTCGGTTCCCCATTTTCTCAACGCCCCCTGGAAGTCATTGGAAAATCTTTCTACGAGGTTTTTGTTTGATATTTATTTGAAGAATCCTGCAATCACTGTTGTTCGAATTTTCTGAAGCAATAGATGATATATTTTCTTTTGACAAATATGACCCATACGAATAATTATTCTCGTCAGCAGCATAGATCTAATCACATTTTTGGATCGGCACGCTTACGTTTAAGACTCATTCAATAATAAGTATACAGGCGAAACTCGTCCTACGAATTCGTTCACCCTTTCGTGAAACATAGAATGATGTTGCTGTACTTTTATGAAGTAATGTTTGTCTAAATCTCACTTACAGCTATCCACATTTCCTTCACATTTTCCTGTAAGATTTTCTTCGATCTGACTCGACAAATTCAGCTTCAGATCAGTTGTCATGGCTACTCTAGACTCGTAACTCTTAATAGCTGGATAATGTTTCGTAAAAAAAACTCACATTACCATATTCCAAGAGCTATCTTGTAAAATTCTAATGAAAATATCCCCTTGGCTTGAAATACTACTTTCGATATTCTTATCAAAAATAGCGTGCAAGAATGTAAAATATTTATTTCCACAAGCATTTTTTTCATATAGAACAGCCAGTTATAAAACTTAAACAAAAATCTTGACTCGAAATCAGCAGATATACACAAAAGAAATCAAACTGATCAAAGTTTTTTGAATTTGTGTCCCACACAATTTAAGGAAACGCAATACATGTCCAACAAGTCAAATCTGAACTGGTCTCTCCACTAAATTTTGTAAAAGGTTATTAACATTGGAATATTCAAGTTCCAATTGCATGCATTCGAATAACCTGACAAAGTTAGGGATTTTGCACTATAACGGTTGAAATAAACCCACGTCCTTATCTCCCTAGGATTTAGTTCAATGGTTTTCCTTATTATTCAGAAATTTTCGCTTTTACCTAGAAGGCTTACTATCTCAGGATCTTATAGCTACAGCTTAGGTGTGACTTCATCATTAAAGTTAAAGTTGCATCAGATTTACTAGAGTTAATACGAGATATCAGTGCTAATAGCATTCAAAAAAAAACAAAAAATTCTAAACAGAAAAAAAAATAATGGGGATCTTTTTTTTATGCTAAAATCTATATAAAATTTTGCCCCCATATTTCTGAGGAAGTATGGGGGTAAAATTATATGTATGCCATCTAATACGTACGTCATCTTCCACCGAACTTCCTTCTCCGCACCCACACCTGGTCACCTGATGTGTGTGTGGAAAGATATGTATGTCGTCTCCCCTCCGAACTACCTTCTTCGCACCCACACGTGGTGAAAAGTGAATAATTGAAGTTCAACTATTCAACAATTGCATAACTGAATAGTTGAAGTAAATTTTCAATAATTGAATTCAATTTTCAGGTTTGACATGTGTGACATATACGCATGAATATCTATCTTACGATTTCCGTCTTGNAGAAAAAAATTTTTTCGACCTGCCTGGGGGGTACCACAGGTCCGAAAATTTTTTTTTCAAGAAATTTGAAAAAAAACGTATGAAACATAATCAGGACCTAAGTCTATCTTCAATCGAATAAAAACTAATCGATTTTGTTGGGGGCAAAAAAATGGCCTTATCCGCCCTCGTCCTTTTATCTGAATCCTGGAAATGTTAAAATTTATTTCCAAAAGCAAATAATACCTATATATGAAGAAATAATTAAATATGTCCTAGGAAATTATAGTGTCATTTTTACGTAGTTGTATGTCAACCATTGAATTAACGACTGACTCCAAAAGACCTATATATTCGACTATTATCAACGTAGTCAATTAACCTTGTCTTTAAAGCAATGATCACGTTATCATCGTCACTGAGGTCACATATGTTTGCGATACATAACACGATCACTTTCTGACCTTCAGTTAACAAAATTATTGTCGTCACTCATTATCTT